GATATCCTTTCAATACAAAAGGCTATAAAGTCCTAGATCTAAGTACCAAGAGGATACATGTTTCTAGGGATGCAATTTTTCATGAGAATGTCTTTCCTTTTGCCTTGTTTAAGTCTGAAAATGATCCTAGTTTTTCCACAATATTAAGAACTTTGAATTCTAATTCAAACATATTAAACTCTACTTATGATACTTTTAACAAAGCAGCTGTTTTGGATGATAATGACACTAATTTTAATGTCACTAATACTGACTTGCCTGCACCTATACTTTCACAAACATCTCCACCATCAGCTTTTGAACAATCATTAGACTTTACTTCTCCTTCAACAAATAGACAACCCAGCTCAACTGGACATGCCTTACATGACACCATTGAACAACATCAAACCCAAACACTAAACCTTAGAAGGTCCAGTAGGCCTCATACCATCCCCACTTACTTGAAAGAATACAATTATTCCTTACCTTCTTTGCACACTCAGCTTTCCTCAACCCCATCCTCTAACTTTGCACCTACCACTCATTATTGTTCTCTTACAAGTCTTAACCAAGATAGTCAACACAATGTTAAAAGTCCTTCTCATGACACTGAACCATGCTCATATGAAGAGGCAACACTTGATCCTGCTTGGCAGACAGCTATGACATCAGAATTTGAGGCACTGTATGCTAATGAGACATCGGATCTTGTTAAACTACCCATGGGAAAGAAGACAATTGGATGCAAGTGGGTTTACAAAGTTAAACACGAGGCTGATGGCACAATAGAGAGATTGAAAACTAGATTAGTTGTGAAGGAATACACTCAACAAGCTGACATTGATTACAATGAGACTTTTTCCCCAATAGTTAAAATGACTACAATCAGGATTTTAATCAGTCTGGCTGTCAAGAAAGGCTGGGACATGTACCAACTAGATGTGAATAATGCCTTCCTTCATGGAGATCTCCATGAGGAAGTGTATATGGATATACCTCCTGGACTCATGGTGACTGATACAAGAATGGTTTGTAAGCTCAAGAAGTCCTTATATGGGCTGAAGCAAGCAAGTAGACAATGGTATGAAAAGTTGGCACAATTTTTATACTTAAGAGGCTACTTTCATTCTGCTAGTGATTACTCCTTGTTCTATAGAAAAATTGGAAGTTCTTCAGTCTTTGTTGCTGTCTATGTGGATGATGTCATTATGACTGGTACTGATATTATAGAGATTACTTCTTTGAAGAGTTCTCTCCATAATGAGTTCAATATTAAGGATTTGGGGAAATTGCAATACTTCCTAGGTTTGGAGATTTTCTACAAAGATTCAGGGGTTATAATCTCTCAAAGAAAGTTTACTATTGACTTACTGCATGAGTTTGATTGTTCAGATTGCATACCTGTGTCATCACCTCTTGAGTCCACAGTCAAACTTAAAGCAGGTGAAGGTATATTGCTTACCGATCCCACATACTACAGGAAATTAGTAGGTAAGTTGAATTTTTTGACCAACACAAGGATGGACATAACTTTCAGTGTCCAGTATCTCAGTCAATTCCTCCAAAATCCCAAAGAGCCACATCTCAAGACTGCTTATCATGTGCTGAGATACCTCAAGAATGACCCTTGTTTAGGGATACACTTGTCAAATAATGCAGATTGCTCAATCACTGCATATTATGACTCAGACTGGGCAGCCTGTCCTGATACAAGAAAGTCAGTGAGTGGTTATGTTGTGCTCATGGGGGACAGTCCTGTGAGCTGGAAGTCTAAGAAGCAAACGACTATATCTTTATCCTCAGCAGAAGCAAAGTATAGAGCTGTTAGGAAGGTTGTTGGAGAATTGGTGTGGCTAGAAAGATTACTGATTGAGTTGAATTTACTATGTAAACTGCCCATATCTGTATTTTGTGACAGTCAGAGAACTATTCACATATCAAAGAACCTTGTCTTTCATGAGAGTACGAAGCATATAGAGGTGGATTGTCATTTTGTTAGAAAAAAAATACAAGAAGGACTCATCACACTCCATCACATCTCAACAAATGATCAGCCAGCTGATGTACTGACTAAGGCACTGCCGAGTGTTAAACACTCCAACATTCTACACAAGCTGGCTGTGAACTACTCACTTTCAACTTGAGGGAAGGTGTTAAGATAAAGTTTATTCAAGGACAATCAGTGTAATTAGTGTGATGAACTAAGTCGGTTAAGTTTGTTATTCATTTTATTCCTTGCTGATGAGTTAGTTATTTTTGTTGTTAGTTAGTTAGATTCTAGAACTTTCTTATTGTTGAGTGTGTAGAAATACGCTACATCTTCATGAAATGAAGTTCAGTTTTCATTTCCCCAAATCACAGTATTCTTCATTTCTCCTCAAAGCTTCAAATCAGCATCAATGGAGAATCAATATTCTCCATCAGTTTTCGTTTAACTCAATAGTTTGATCTTTTAAGGGTAAAATATGAAGTGCATCTCTTAAAATTCATTTGGATAGTTGAGCTTTTGATAAATTGATAACTAGCTATTGAAAATCTTATAATACCATAAGAGAATGACCTCCTATGACCTTTGATATCTTGATCAATAAAATTTTGATAAACCAATTTGTATTCAAACTGAACTTAAAATGAGAGTTTTCTAAGCTTAATTTGATTCTATTATTTTTGGTTCAGCAAACATAATTGCACTATTATACGTAATTGCATTTTAAATTCTTAAGTTATTCAATATATTCTACGCCTCTTGTATTTGCTATGTTTATCATCATACTGTAGACTGTAGTTCATGTCAACTAATAAATAAAGCATAATTTTTTTTTTTAATTTGTTAATGTTTTCTCTGGTGTTCTTTTGGTTTTCATTGATTTAGATTCATCTCCTACTATCACATCGTTAATTGTATTTCTCTCAATTGAAGCCTAGCTTATTAGCTCCCTTTCAGGGGGTTATTGAAGCACACGAGACCTCAAAATAAATAAATATATTCTGCGATGTGATGATGCCTTGAATAGATACAAATAAGTCAATTCTACATGAGTTGCTACACGTACGTACTCTCTACCTCCATCATTTAAACGTTTCTCCTATTTTAACCAGGAACTCATCATTAATATGCGTACAGTTTTTTTTTTTTTAAATCAAGCACGACGTCAGTCGTCACACAACAATGGTAACTTTGAAGAACCAAAGGACTGCAGTCAACAAGCATAGCAGCCGGCTGAGTTGCTATTTTGTTGGTACTAGTAGTAGCTTACATAGATATATGTGAATATCCGCACAGTCGGTTCCATCATCAATGTGTGTATATATACCAACAATTCAACATCTAAATAATGTATGTTACTATCCATTAAATAAGTTTTCGGGTAAATTCATTTTCACACCATCTAGTATAATAAATTTGTTGACTTGAAATTTAAATATAATATCTTACACATAAAAAACCATAATTTGATGGGATTATTTAAATTAAAGATTTTGTTATTATATTGTATTAATTCGATAGGACTTGAATTCACTGACTTATTCCCAAATTATTAGTGAATATCAGATGACGTGAGCACTTTTAAGAGCCAAAATTATTAATTTACAAAGAAAAAACATTAAAAAAAAATCAATTAACAAAAAAATGGAATGAAAGCAATACTATCTGATGACTCTCTTTGAATCCAAATATTTAAAAAAAAGAAAAGAAAAAAGAATGAAAGCAACAAAATAAGCACTAATAATTAATATTTGTTTCTGTGCCATACGTATACTAATTACCTTCGCCACTGACATTTAATATTATTTTTTTAATACTTTAGAAAATATTCAGAAGAAATTTTTGATGCAATGATGATAAAATACAAACCTTTTCTTCTCACTTGACAAAGCCACAATAAATAGCAAATGTTACTCCTGTGAAAGGCTTAAATTATTTGAGTTTCGTATCGATAACATGTTATAAAATCAAGAATAAAATTATATATAAAAAATAATATAAGATAAAAAGATTTATATAGAGCAATATAGCATTAAAGCAAAATATTAGCAACATATCGAATTAATATCTCATATGATCATCCAATTTTCAATAGTTCACTTAGAAAGTCACTCAATTTTGATTGTTTTCTTCAAAGGTCACTCAACTTTGTTTTATAATTCAAAAATCACTTAACTATTAATAGTTTATTTAAATAGTCACGTAACTATTGATATTTTACTTAAAAAGTCACCCAACCAATTTAAATTAATTTTTTTTATTGAATTTTGTAAAATACAAATTTTTTTTAAAACTATTTTAAAAAAATTAATAAGATGCCTATTTTAATTATTTTATTGAAGTATAGTTTTTCTTTTTACCTTTTTTTTTAATAAAAAAAGTGGTACTGTGCTGCGTATTTTTTATTACTTCTTATCAATTCCAACTTCTTCTTATTTTTTGGATCATTTTTTAACATATTTAATTCCAGCTAAAACGAAAAATATTTTTCTGGGTTCAATGGCTATGGTACGATTTTCAAAAAAATTATAAGTAAATAATTTGGATTAACAAAATAATTAAAATAAATATCTTATTATTTCTTTTAAAAAATAGTTTAACATAAAAATTAAATTTCACTAAATTTTTATGAAAAAAATATTTAAATTGATTGAGTGACGTTCTAAGCGAAATATCAATAATTGTGTGATTTTTTAAGTAAAGTATCAATAGTTGAGTGAATTTTGAATTATGAAACAAAGTTGAGTGAGTCGTAACTTGTAAGTGAACAACTCAGAGTTGAGTAATTTTCTAAGCAATAATTCAAAATTGAGTGAACATTTGAATCTGAGATATTAACTAGCCACATATCTTGTGGTACAATGATGACACTGCTTCATTCTTAAATCAAGGTCTTCGGTTTGAGTCCTGGTTGGGGCTCGAATGTGGTAGTTAAAATTGTCATTCTATTTTGTGGAGTTGGTGAAAAAAAAAAAAGAAGTTAGGAGATTTTGACATCAAGGGGAAGGACTAGGGGAGACTCTCAATCCACCAACCGACACTACAGAGTCCCTTTTGTGTTTTTTTGTTAGCTGTTCATCTTTTCTTTCTCAGCTCACTTTTTTCTCTTTCAGATCACTCAAGATTTTCATCCTTAATTTCAGGTGGGTTCTCAATCTTTTTTTATTTTTTAATATTTTTGTTATGGGATCTGTATTGGAAACAAATGGGTTTTAATTGATGTGGGTGATTTCTACTAGATTGGAGAGTAGTTGTTATTATGTGATCTGTAGTTGGATCTGTTTGGGTTCTTTGTCTCTTTTCAATTTTGACTTGATTACTAGCTGTGTTATGTATAAAGTTTCAATCTTTATGCTTCTGTTGGGTTATATTTTGTCCTAATAAGACTTGTCAAGAAGAGAAATTTGTTTTTTTGGGGGAAATGAACAGAGCAGGTATATGGTTGGACTTTGGTGTCTTTAATCTGTAGTTTACTAGAATTTGTTCTCATTGATTCAGACAATCCATGGTGTTTCTGTTAATATGGGTCTTTCCAAAAAGAGAATATATTGTGTTTATTGAGGGAGTTGACTATCTCTTGGTTTGCGAACATGATTAGTTTTAGTGCTATTGTTTCCTTCTTGTATTGAAATGAATTGGCTCGAATGGACTTTCCCTGGATCCTGTTAATGCAGTAAGAGTGATTCTTTGTGTACCCTTTGGGATGAGGACCTTTCCTGGATCCTGTTAATGCAGGATGCTTTGAGCACTGGCTGCCCTTTTATAATAGCACTACGAGGGAGCTAGGAAGTTGCAAAAAAGAATAAAAAAATCTTCTCTTCAACTATGCAGAAAGTCTATAAGCTCCATCTTGATGTCAAAATCATGAACAGCTTTCGTGTTGCACAAAAAAAAAAGTACTGTCTTAGCAGTTGAACTTTACAAAAGATGAGGAAGAACATCTACCTTCTAAACATCTGTGTGGATTTGTATTTGTTGAACCTAACTAGTTTGGAGAATTGAGGGATAGTTGGCTGATTGATTGAGTTTTTCGGAATTTTGATGAGCTAGAACTAAGAATCAGATACATGACTTCCCATCGGAGAAAAAATAAAATCAGACACATATATCCATAATATCTGTATGAGTTCACAGTAGTTAGTTACCCTAGATGATCGTCAAGAGTTTATCCATTTTCTTGTATAGGCCAATCACTTAGTGAGAGAAAAGTGAAATCTCCTTCTCCATGAAGTCTGCAAAGCTCTTCCGCTTAGATGTGGAAAGGAAAATCCTTAGGCTACCTTTTTCCTTTTGAAATGAGTTCATATAAATCTTGTTCTCGCTATTTACGAGCAGTGTAAGTTTTTGCAAAGGACATGAGTTTTGATGCTTAAGACAAATTAAACAAACTGTTGGTAGTGTTGCTTTGGCTTGCAACAATTAATTCTGTGGACTCTGCTTGGAACCGTCGAGAATAATGGGCAGATTATCAGAGAAGCTGGGCAAGAGAGTTTTACCTTTCAGAATGATCAAAGCATGCTTAGAGATTTTCCAGCTGATAATGTTGCACTTTCTATTAAAAGACTTCCAAAATTTATTTCTAATTCAGTCTTTACTAATCTCTGCACTACTAATTCCTATTATTTGTGGAATAAGATTATTGAATAATTTCATTCATATCTTTCTATGTCATGTACATGGCTTTATATATACATAAAAGATTGTGGAATAGAATCACCTAAATCTTTACATTAAGAGAAAGAATCAGAGATATGATATTCTAGATTACCACAATTATACTAAGATCTTAGAGGATCATATCTTGATATGAAGAATATCTTCTCATCTTAGAGGATCACATCTTTGATGACAAGAATATCTTCTTGGAAATCCTCCATCAGCCAACACTCCCCCTCAAGCGGGTGAATGGATATCTTCCATTCCTAGCTTGCTTATTAGATCTTGAAACATATTGTTTGGCAGTCCTTTTGTTAAAACATCAGCAACCTGATCTTTTGTAGATACAAATGGCGTACAAATGAGTCCGTTATCTAATTTCTCCTTAATGAAATGTCTGTCTACCTCAATATGCTTAGTGCGATCATGTTGTACAGGATTATGAGCTATACTTATTGCTGATTTATTGTCACAATATAGCCTCATAGGTCCTTCCCATCTTATCTTCAAATCATCAAGGATTATCTTTAGCCATAACAACTCACAAACTCCCATCGCCATGGATCTAAACTCAGATTCTGCACTTGATCTAGCTACTACATTTTGTTTTTTACTCCTCCAAGTCACCAGATTTCCTCCTAAGAAGGTGCAATATCCAGAACTTGACCTTCGATCCACTAATGAACCAGCATAGTCCGCATCTGTATAAGCCTCTAAAACCATGTTTCCTCCTCTTTTGAATAATATTCCTTTTCCTGGACTTCCTTTAAGATATTGTAGAATCCGGTTGATAGCTTGAAGATGCATTTCTCTAGGATCATGCATAAATTGGCTAACAACACTTACAGCAAATGCAATGTCTGGCCTTGTATGGGACAAGTAAATCAATTTCCCTACAAGCCTTTGATACAAGCCTTTATCTACCACTGAATCTTCTGGAGCATTGCACAATCTATGATTGTATTCAATTGGTGTAGCCACTGGTTTACACCCTAATTTTCCTGTTTCTTTCAACAAATCAAGCACATATTTTTGTTGGGAAATAAAGATTCCTTGTTTTGAGTGTGCCACTTCGATTCCCAAAAAATACTTTAATTCCCAAGCTCTTTGATGTCAAATTCCTTGAGTAAACACTTCTTCAAATTTTGTATCTCCTCTGAATCATCACCTGTTACTATGATGTCATCCACATAAACCAACAATGCTGTCACTTTTCCTGTTTTTGAGTGTCGTATGAACAAGGTGTGGTCTCCTTGACTTTGTCGGTACCCTAGCTTGATCATAACCTTTGTAAATCTTCCAAACCATGCACGAGGTGATTGCTTTAATCCATAGAGTGCCTTCTTCAGTCTACACACCATTCCCTTCTTGCTTTCAAAAGCAGGTGGCACCTCCATATAGATCTCCTCATCTAAGTCTCCATGTAAAAAGGCATTTTTTACATCAAATTGTTGTAGGTTCCAATTAAAAACTGCAGCCAATGATAATAAAATTCTCACTGTATTCATTTTTGCCACTGGGGCAAAAGTCTCCAAATAATCAATTCCATAGGTTTGTGTATAACCCTTTGCTACCAAACGTGCTTTATATCTTTCTATGGACCCATCTGACTTATATTTCACAGTAAACACCCATCTGCACCCGACCAACCTTTTTCCTTTTGGTAATTCCACAATATCCCAAGTTTTGTTTTTCTCCAATGCTTCCATTTCTACCTTCATAGCTTTCTCCCATTCTTTATTTCCTAATGCTTCAGACAAATTTCTGGGGATAGGAATTGTGTGGAGGTTACAGAGAAAAGCTTTATGACTTGGGGATAGATTTTGATATGTCATGGAGAGGCTCAAAGGGTGTTGTGTGCAAGTTCTGGTTCCTTTTCTGATTGCAATGGGAAGGTCAAGGACATTAGGTTGGTTAAATTCTTCTTCATGATCTTCTCAAAAAAATTCTTCTTCATGATCAGTTTGGTTTGGTGTTTCTGACGGTTCAACAAGTTCAGGATGGGTATCAGGAGCAGTAACCTGAGGAGATGATTGCAACCGAGTAGTTTGATCAGTTAGTCTCTTTCTTCTGGAATATACCTGCAATGGTAGATTATTTTCTAGAATTCCATTATCTATATTTGGATTAGGAGACTCAATGGGTTCATTAGGATTTAGAGACTCAGGTGACTGTAGCAATGGTGACTCAGGCAAGAATTTGGCACGACTAGAAATGGACAAATCAAATAGTGACAAGTCTAGAGGTTCCTTTCCTTTCAGTGACTCCCCCTGATTGTAAGAATGATTAAAAAAGGATTCACTCTCATCAAATGTGACATCTGCGGAAACAAAGAATTTCTTTGATGATGGTTGATAACACTTGTAACCTTTTTGAGTAGGAGAATATCCTATGAAAACACACTTAAGAGCACGTGGGTCTAATTTGCCTCTATTTTGAGAATGAATATGAACATAGGCAACACTTCCGAAGATTCTAGGAACCAACTTATTGGAAATTTCAAAATTTGGAAAGAAATTCCTAAGAGTATCAAGCGGACTTTGAAAGTTCAGAATTCTTGATGGCATTCTGTTACTAAGATGTGCAGCAGTTAGGACAGCTTCCCCCCAATACTGTTTTGGCACCTTTTTGTGAAACAATAATGATCTAGTAATGTCAAGTAACAGACCATTTCTTCTCTCTGCTATCCCATTTTGTTGAGGAGTATTGACACATGAAGATTCATGAATAATTCCCTTTTGTTGGAAGAAAACAGTGAGGTTTTGATTGAAGTAGTCCTTGGCATTATCGGATCGAAATCTTTTAATTGGCACATCATATTGGGTTTTGATCATATTAAAAAAGGTAGGAAGAATTTGACTGACATCTGATTTTTGCTTTAGCAAATAGATCCACGTAACTCTTGTACAATCATCAATGAATGATACAAACCATCTAGCACCAGAAATATTAGGAATGGGAGAGGGTCCCCAAATATCACTATGAATAAGAGAGAATGGAGTTTGACATCTTTTGTGACTAATTGGAAAGGAAGTACGTTTGTGTTTTGCAATTTCACAATCATCACAATGAAAAGACTCAACAATCAAATCTTTGAATAAAGATGGGAACATCCTTTTGATTACATAAAAGGAAGGGTGACCTAACCGACGATGATAAAGCCATACTTTCTCTTTATTGGACATGATAGATTCAGACAAGAATGAACTAGACAAGGAATTCTTAGATATATATTCACCATTGTGGAAATCCAAACAATAAAGACCACCTTTCTCACTAGCACGCCCAATCATCTCCTTCGTGTTCTGTTCCTGAAATAAGCAATATGAAGGGAAGAAAGTTACTTGGCATTTGGAATCTTTGGCGAGTTTCTGGATAGAATGAGATTTGCAGATAACTTTGGGATATGAAGGACATCTTTAAGTATCAAGGATTTTCCAAGTGGTATGTCTCCTTGCCCAACTACAGTAATAACTGAACCATCAGCTATAGTTATTTTTTTATAGCTAGGACAAGGGGAATATGATATGAAGAGATGAAAGAGACTGGTCATGTGATCAGTTGCCCCGGAATCAACCACCCACGTTGGAGAAAGTTTGTCTGAGACATTAGTAATAAAAGAGTAAGAAATACCTGTGAAGGCCAATGAACAACTACCTGTTGAAGCTGAATGTTGCAAATCTCCAATTGAAACTGTAGAGTTATTCTCTATGGTTGCAGAAACATTTTCAGAGACTGGAATATTTGCGGCAGTACCATTTTCAGACATGGTTTGGGCAGATAAAGATAGCAAAATGGGATTTTTCAAGATAGGATGAATAAAATTGGCCAGGAATAAGCCTAAAGCTTTGATACCATGTGGAATAAGATTATTGAATAATTTCATTCATATCTTTCTATGTCATGTCATGGCTTTATATATACATAAAAGATTGTGGAATAGAATCACCTAAATCTTTACATTAAGAGAAAGAATCAGAGATATGATATTCTAGATTACCACAATTATACTAAGATCTTAGAGGATCATATCTTGATATGAAGAATATCTTCTCATCTTAGAGGATCACATCTTTGATGACAAGAATATCTTCTTGGAAATCCTCCATCAGCCAACAATTACTAATCTGTGCACTACTAAACCTTGCATTGTAGTCCCCGAGTGTCATAGGACTCGATAGGATTTTAAGTGTTTCACTCTTTTGATTCTTGAACAATCAAAAGATCACAAATAACCAATTCACTATTTCAAATTTTCCAAATAAACATGCATATGCATTTTCTCTATGACCAAAGATGGCAATTTTAAAGAGAATCTTAGAAGTAATATAACCAAAAAGCTATAGATACCAAAGAAAGAACTACAGTAATTTATACCAAAAATAAACAAACAACTAACATCAACTCCATGACTTCATTATATGCAGAACAAAAAGAACTCTGATACTCAGGAACCCTCTAGGCAAAAAAAAATTCTGGTCTATGTGGATTGTTGACTGCATCACATCTTTCGAAGATTCATACCTATCAGTTCCTCTTCTAGTTTCATATTACAATCCGAGTGAAACACGAAATTGGTGGAGAAGATAGTAGACGAGGAGGTTATGGTTTTTGTACATTATTAGAGGTTCGGGACTTATCCATGATAACTATCTACCTATAATTTGAAGTTCTTAGTAAAGGAGGATTACGTGCTATTGTCAATGTATAGATTTTTGTTCACTTTTTCTGAAGGCTGATTACTGTTTCTGTTTCCTGATGCGACAGGTTACGATATTTATACACTGTTTTGTTCACAACTTTGTATTTCATCTCCTTTACCCCTCCTCTTAACCACTCTTTCTCAATTTTTAATTGCATCTTGGGTAGCTGGACGATTAAATTCGAGCATCCTGTTCCTCATAATGCAACTGCACTCTGATTTGCTGACAGGTTTCTTCATTCAAGGATTGTACATATGGATCACGAGACAGGCGAATCGTTGGATTCTGTGCCTTCAGATAATATGAGTTGTGAGCATGGTGATTTTGAATGCAATATCTGCTTTGAAATAGCTCAAGATCCTATTGTGACTCTTTGCGGTCACCTTTATTGTTGGCCTTGTCTTTGTGAATGGTTGCAAGTTCATTCACATTCCCATGAATGTCCAGTTTGTAAGGCTCTCATTGAAGACCAGAAGTTAGTTCCTATATATGGTCGAGGCAAGACAATCTCTGACCCAAGGTCTCACATACGTCCAAGGATGAACATTCCTAACCGTCCAGTATTTGGGCCAAGACCACAAACAGCTCCAACACTAGATATGAACTATTTCCGACCTGATGAGTTGGATCAAATGGGGGGATTTATGCCTATGGCCAGTGCAAGGTTTGGAAACTTGACATTATCTACTCTATTTGGAGCTATTCCATCTTTTTTTAATCTTCATGTGCAAGGATTTCATGACGCTACTGTATACGGTGCAACGACGGGAGTTCCATACCTCTTCTCTAGTTCACTTCATGGGGGTTATGCTCATGGATTTCATCATTCAATCCATGTAGATGGTACAAAGTTTTTTATTAAGATGTTTCTCTTGATTGTCGGTTTCCTCTTAGTTGTTTCCTTAATTTTGTAGAGAATTCCATAAATTAAGATGTAGAATTGTTAATCATGTGTGTATATCTTTAGAGTAGTTGACTTATATTTATGTCTAGCAAAGCAGGGGCCTCAGTTATTAGCCTTAGGAATTTCCTTATTGTGCCATATTTTTGTCCTATAAAATCTGATGTTTTGAGTTAACTTGTCAAACATGGTAAAATGATTTGTTATAGCAAGTAAAATTGAATCTCCAACATATACATATCGAAAATGGCAACTAAATAAAAATTTGTTCAAATAAAAACAATGTCTAGCTAGCTAAGACTAACAACTTAATAAAAAGAAAAGTCAAATTTCTGTGTGTTGCTGTAATGGCAAAACAGAAGATCTACAAATTGGACAATTCTTCTTGCCCCTCAGCAGCCATTTCTCTATGCAAGTTGCATGATATTCGTGTCCACAATGGAGTGTACCAATTGTGTCATCATATACATATTCAGATAGGCATATGGAACATATCTCTTCTGAATCAACTTTATTAACACAATGATTTCTTTTTTTCATCATCACAATTTCCTCCTGGTGGTGGCCTACTCCAGGTAGATCAAGCAAAGCTGTATAATCAAATGGCTGTCCGCTGAGACGACTACCAAAGTTGCGATCAAGGTTTTGCATTGCGACTACTAACTGATTAACATCATCAGTTATGACATAGGCTTGATCAATGAATTGATGATAAGTATATGGATCCCAGAAAGCAAAAGAGTAGTTATGTGGAGCCAAGTGATTACCAATTGTATTTCTTGAACGGTGAGAGGAATTTCTTGAGCGATGATTGTGGGGTTGTGAAAGATGAGGATTTGTGCGAAACAGAGAAGCAGCATCATCAGTGACAAAGACACCATCAATGTATTGGCCGTCTGTGAGAAACAGAGCACGATCCGAATTCATATTCATCATAACAACAAACAGAGAGAAACAAGATTAAGTTGGGGTTTTGCAGAATGAAGAAAAGAGAGCTGCAAATATGAATTCACACACATATATATAGACGAGATAAAGGCTGGTTGAGGGTTAAGCGCATTCTATAACGGTAATATAAATTGACATGGTTACCATAATATTTCCTTAAGTAATAAATTGACACGGTTAACAGAATGTTTCCTTAAAAAATAAATTGACACGGTTGCCATAATGTTTCCTAAACTAATAAATCCACACGGTTACCATATGATATTTAGTAGGGAAAAAAACTAAAATATACAAATTAATTACCTTAAATACCCTAATATACTCCACATTAAAGGGCACGTAATACAAGGAGATCAGAAAAAAAAATCACTTAAATACAAAAAATAATTATTTTGTTATGTATGTAATTTAAAAACTATGTTTGTAATCATATCATATTTATATTATACTAAAAGTGGGAAGTCACAAAAGTAAAAGTTGAAATACTATTTTACCCCTATCTTAATTCAAAATGTTATAAAATATTTAAGCAATTAAATATTAAATAATAATTATATCATATTATATTAAATACTAGAAATGAAAATGTGTTTAAGAATGTCTCTCCATTCTCCAACATAACTTTTGAGCTTTCTACAGAATTCTAGGCAAATTTTTGGCTTATAAATATCATGTGTATGAGGTAAAAATATTATTGGCAAATACATAAGCTAATTCGCCTTTCATAGCTCAGAAGAAAAATGAAACTGATTTCATCAATTACAGAAAATGCTTAAGCATGGAGATCGCAGATTAAGGTAGAAGGTTGTAGTGGAGTGTTCTCTTTCTTTTCGAAGGGTTTAGACTTAGTGGTGTCTGTCATAGTAGTGCTTTTATTCTTGTACTGTCTTTCTTTTGCTTTCTACACCAATTGTTTTTATGGTGTTTCGGTTATTGCACCTTTTTTGTTGTTATTGTTTTCGTAATAGTTGTTATATTATATTATGTTCTCTTCACTGTCATTTTTCTTTTTCATATTTTCTCTGATTTGCTATACTCGACTCAAGTTGTGGGTCTTTTGAATTGAGGTAAGGTCTGTGCACACTCTACACTCCCTAAATGGATTTCACGAGATATGTTAATATAAAAGAAGTAGCTATAAAATTAGACAACACATTTAAACGTTTGGGCTGAATTGATAAATGTACATCTATTTTGCTTTGTTAGCAAGTTTTGTCGAGAAATATGTTTTTTCATCCTGTTTGATAAGTTATTGATAATTTTTTAGATTTCTTTTGTCGTTAAATTTCAATTCTCTTAGTTAATTCAGTATTTAGAGTTAGAGGTATTTACATGCATTTACAGTAATCTAGAGCATGAAATTCAGACAACATATTTCTATATACCATTATGGGGCTATATCATATTGACTTTCTTCATGCATTTATTGCTAGATGGTAACTGTGTTTGTCCGCCTTTTCAAGTTTATTTCTATTTAGCAAATAAATAACTAAAGTAAAGAATTACAGTAAACACAATACAAGTTCAAATTTTAAATGGTGTCTCCATATCATAACAACAAATATTTTCTCAAGTGACATAGCTTTTAAAATAGATTTTTGATTTATTGTTTTGTTACACAAGTTTTATAATAAAAGCTGAAAATATATATGCAACGCATGTTCCATATATATATATATATGTTATGGTGTTTGAAGCAATGAATATGATGTCAAGCACCGCTGGTAAATTTTGTCTCTACTTTTGTCTGAAAAAAAAATATGATGCATACTTCGTTATACATAATTTGCAAATTATAAGATTTGTCAGTGCAATTACTTCCCTCTCATAGTCTGTGCCTTTTGTTTTTCCTCTTTAAACTTGTAGCTTCCGAATTCCGAATATGGATAACTTATTGATTCTATATTTATTTTCTATCTATAATCTATATGAATAAAGTCTTGTGAATTATGTGTATGCTTTATTTTTCTTCTATTTTTTGTGTGTTTTTTCTTTTATGAACTTTTTTTTTATCATTATCATAAGTATGTATTGTTATTTGGCTCAAATCAGTTATGTGACTTTATTAAAAGTGTGTTAACTACTAAACAAAGTTTAAAAATAATCGATAATAGCTTCAATAGAATTGATTTACCGATGGTAGCTTCAAAAGAATTGATTTTAAACATTACAATGTTCCCCTCATTTGGTGTTTCTAGACGCACATTAAAAAATATTACTCACTTCACACAATTTGCATAAAATTTTAATTGTTCTAACGAATCTATAAAAATTCACATGGAACACACGTGCAACGCACGTGTCCAGTGACTAGTTAAATATAAGTGTATTGATAATTTGTTAATTAAAGTCTTAAGTAGTATACTTTTGTAATTTTTCCTATTTAGTACTAGCTTTAGTAAAATATTTGTATTTTTCAAATATATTGTTGATTTTTTTTATCATGAAAATTTATATTCCCATGTTTTAATTTATTTGTTTTAGTTACTATTTGGACTATCAAAATGGTATTTTCTTTGACCATAATATTTTCAAATACATTGTAACCACATACCATAGATGGAATTTCTAGTCCTACAACATTTTGATGTCTATAAATGTCCCCTGCATCAAGGGCTGTCGGAGTGTAGGCTTGATGATACTAAAAACCAAGGCTTGAAGTATCCATAGAAATAAAGCTATCATCTTTGCAGTTTTGTGGCTTCAGATTTGCCTATTTGATTTGTGAGAGAAGAGATGAATATCGCACAAAGTAGGCTTCAGTGCGCGATCGCGCACCAACTCCGAAGTTATTTAAGTCTTCTCTTCTCTTTACGTTTTAGGAGGGGTGTTTTTGTATTTTCCTCATCTCATAATCCTAATCCATGACTATTAACTTTCCCCAAAAGTCATATTCTAGGAGATTTGATAAGTTACGACAAACTCTTCTTCTCTTCTTCCCCAACCCTTCATGAAGCATGATCAAAGGCTAATTCTCAAAGTCTCTTTCCTAAGTTATTCGTCAAAAGGTATGTTTGAACACTCCCTACTTCAAACTACTCATACAAGATTCATATTTACTAAATAACGAATTGAGGTAAGGGTTAAGAGACGATTTTATGAAAATTGATTACAAATGTTCCTCTCTTGTTAATTGTGTTCAAATTACTTTATTATAATTTCAGAATTCGGATTGTTGGTTTTTGTTGCTCCCCAATATACACGCAAGTGTACGTGGTCGCGCAAGTAATATAGATTCTTTAAGAAATGAGTTATCGATCCCAAGGGACTTATGATCAATTTATATTCACTTAATTCTACAACTAAAAGTAAAAAGTAACCTTTTCAAGAGTTGATGATTTATTGTTTATCTACTAATAATTATGCACTAATTGAAAGTAACTAATTGTGAACGACTTTGATATAATGTTTCAAGCAAGTTAAAAGCAATTCCAGGGTTGCAGCATATAATGAATATCCTGTATCATATTATTGACTTAGAACTAATTTCAGTTGCCAAGTTACTGGTTTATATGGTTGATGATATGATTCGGGTTATACGCCTCTCGTCGGCTACCCCAGTTAGCTATCTAACTACATCATTGAACGGGGATAAATAGACTAACTGACAAGCATTATATGTCATCCTATTTCGTAACGAAGCAAGGTGTTCGTATGGGCGTCACTCCTGAACACTAATCACCTCAATTTAATGGGTGGACCGAGCTCTCTATATTCTCTGGTCTATCTAACCTCTCCTCTCCCGATTTTAAGATTAGACAATAGATTTATCTTATGGAGCGCAAGCATAAAATACTAAAACAAGAATATATAAGTAACTTGTATTGACAACCGAAAATTAATTCAACAACCGAAAATAATCAACAATCAATTCGTAGCTACAACCCCAGAACTAGGGCGTTTAGTTACTCATGCTATTCGAAAACAAGAAAATACAATAGTTCATGCAATTTCTGGAAAATAGAAGAGTTAAAGGACTAAAACCTATTACAAACTTGAATTCTTGCTCTTGCACACTAAATCAAACGTCCAACCCCCATAATGGAGCCCTAAGGAACTATTTATAATAGTTGGAAAAGTTG